ATCTCCAACCTAACCCTCCCCTGGCCCGGCTGAAGCCCTTACCTTCCCCTTTGCCATACTTGGAGCTGGGCAGCCAGGACAGGGCCTCCACATAGCCCAGCTCCCTGCAGACCACGTGGGCGGCGTGGATGGAGAAGTCGTCGTCGCAGACGGTGCCCCACTCGCCCCCATAAAACACCTCCACCCTGCCCTCGTTGTGCTTCCTCTTCTGCCCCGCCAGCCTCAGCTGGATTTTGGGCACGTCAGCCGGCCTCTGGGGGGGCTGGTACTCCTGGGGAGGGGGCTCAGGGTAGCCAGGGAGGTAGGGCCAGTGCTCGTACTGGGCGAGGCTCAGCTCGGCGAGGAGCAGCACGAGCAGACAGTGGTTATGGGGGAAAACCCGGGGTCTCCCCATCCTCGGTGCTCCCAGTCCTCAGAGCCCGGCCCAGGTAGTGCAGGGAGGTGCTGTGGGGCTGTTCTGGAAGGAAATAAGAGCTGAGTGAGGCTTGGTGATGATACAACCTTTATATCTCCAAGGATGACGCCGCGTCCGACTCCGTAAAGTAAATTATTTCTTGTGGGGTGGACAAACAAACTGGAATAAAAGAAAAACCCAAACCCACCCCATTAAAACCATTTGTAAGTTTAGGTCGGCTTGCCAAACAGTTTCAGCTGAAAAATCCATTTTCCCAGGGTAAAATCCTGGGGGTTGGAAGTGCCAACAATTGATTTTCCTGTTCCTCTGCAAACCCAGGAGTTCGGCGGATCCGGCAAGTTGCAGAAAACCTCCTTTCAAATCCTACCAGGACAGAACTGAACCATCTTTCTCCCACAGCTCCTTCAACAAAGAAGCCAAACCCACCACTTTAACAGTGGAAAACCAGAAGGGGAAGGAAATATATTCTAACATGGGAGGCAGGGAGGGATTTATACTGAAGCCTGTTTTCCCAATGTGATAAAAGACTTATTTCTCTTCCTGCATGTCCTGTTTCATCTGCAGAAAATCAACGAGTTACTGGACACAGACACTTGGCAGAAACCTTGGATAATCATGTCCCATGGGATAGTGGACAATGCCTCCAGTTTTTGGTTGCTAAGTCTGGATAAGGAGCTGCTGTCACCCAAGTGCTCCATCCTTAAACAAACCCAGTCGTTTAAGGTGTGAACAGGCGGCTTCTCACTGGAGGAATTCCATCCAGGAATTCCACCCAGGCCCCGAGCAGGGTTTAAATCCTGGTCTTTTCCTGCCTCCTTCCCACTCCTGTCCTCCTGTCCAGGCACATGGAGCGGTCAAGGAGCACACGTGGGGGGTGAGGATTCCATAGTTTCCAAATGAAGCAATGCCAGAGCACAGTGGGAAAAGCCTCCCCAGACCTTTAAAAGCTCCATTATTTCCTGGCAACCACTGATGGGGGAGGGAGGAGAGGGGGGAGGACTTGGCTCCAGAACCAGATGTCTAGAAACTCAAACCCACTGCTAGGTCTGAGCTGTCCCTAAAAAAAACCCACCAGGAAGTCACATCCTCACACAAAGACCCGACAAAATACATTAACCAGCCCTTGGTGAGGAGGTGGATCAGAAATCCCAGGCAAGCAGCCCAAAATTCCAGAGCCATTAGTCCAAACCTCGGCTCCAACACTGACCCCAGGCAGGTCACATCCAGGGCTGTGCCTCAGTTTCCCCCCGTGTGTCAAACGGGGCTGGAATTCTTTGGGAATGAGAGGCATCTGCCCAAGGAATAGGTGAATTAACTAGAAGCACGTGGGTTAAAAATCCAGCAGGAAAAGCAAGAGGAGACTTTACAACAGGTCTAATAAATCAGGATGAATGTGGGAGAGGGAGAAGATGCAGCAAAATGTTCTTGGAAAATAAACCTTTGGTGCAGAGGAGCCAATTTTTTTTTTGTAGGTGAGGAGGTGAGGCTGAGAGAGGGGAATAAAATCAAGTCCTGCCCCCACGTCAGAGGGAGCTGGAGGGGGAGAGAGGAAGGAAATACAGCTGATATTCCCTCCAGCAGCAAACAGAGAGGCTTTCCCAAAGGAAATGCAGTTGGCAGGGCAGGATCCGTGTGTCCTGGGGAACAACTTCAGCACCAGGCAGACACCCCTGACTTCAATCCCCACCAGCACTGGCTTCCAAACAAACCTCTCCCGACGTTCTTCATGGATACAAGATGGTTTTCTAGCCCAGGGGATAAACACAGGCGGGCAGAGAGATTGTCATGGATGTACAAAAAACTCCAGTGATCCCCTCAGATCAGGACACACGTTATTTGTGGGGGGAAATCCCAAAGGGGAGGTGTTCAGCTGCCAGCCCAGCACAACCACAAGCCTCGTGCTCCTCAGGAAAAGCTGGTGTTTGGTTTTCATCCTTGAAACATGTGTTTGGATCTGCTTCATCTGCCGTGGCTGTTGTTTCTTGCTACTGCACAACCAGCATCTGTAACAACACTGATCAAAAACTGAGCTGGACTGCCACAACCTCTCCCCCCAAAAAAACTGAGGTGAGGAGTAGCAGGGCCCTGGTTTAGCTGCAAACTCACAGTTGGGTTCCTAAATAAGTCATAATAAAGCTTTCCCAGGCTTGTCCCACATGGCATAAGAGCACAGAGCTCTGTTTATATATATTTGTATTTATATTTCTGGGACTTTCTGAAGCAGCTGGATGGTCCTGCAGCCCTGTGAAGGATATTTGGGAAGAAAAAGGGCAGCTAACAGTGGTGAGTGACCTCCCAGTCAGTCCTGAAGGCTCTCCAGAGATAAGGTGACACACTGACCTCATCAACAGAACATGCCAAATTCCCCTCTGGGTCACAGTTTTGCTTATGAGCCTCCAGAAAGCTCAAAGCAAAGCAAAGCAGGATATTTTAGAGGGGAAAAGGAGGAACAAGCAGCACATAAAGCAGCAGGTCTCACCCAGCTGGGGTGCCAAGGCAAACAGTGCCCGGTGTCAGCCCTGGGTGAGGGGGTCCCTCGGGATCAGGGGGGCCAAGGAGCAGCTCCAAAGGCTGTGACCTCCACTCTGCAGAGCTCCTCCTGCTCAAAGCAAAGCTCTCCAGAGCCCTTTCGCTCCAGGGCTCCAGCCAAGAGACACAACAATTTGGGGAAACCTTTCGGGGAGGGATGGGATGGTTCCCAGCTGAGAGCTGTGCTCCCTCAAGTGTTAATTAACAGAGCACTGCCAGGGGCCAGAGCCTTCCCAAAAGCCCCAGGAGCAGCTGGAAGGGAGGGGAAGGTCACAGCAGACTTCCAGGGTGTTTTAATTGATCCCCAGATTAGTGGGGGAGAAGCTAATTGAGGTTGTAGCAGATATTGTGGGGGTAATTCTGCCTCTCTTGGCAAAGCCTGGCTGAGTCAGGCTTCCAAAAAGGAAAGTGCAGGAGGGTTTGCTTTTGTTCCCTAAAAGCTCAGGGACTTGGGGATGGTGGAATATCCTGAGCTGGAAGGGACCCACAAGGGTGGGACTAAGAAAGCCCCCCATTCAGCACAGGGGAGGGAGGATAAGATTCCCTGCTGCAGAGAGAGAAGGGTGAGCAGCAAAAAGGAATTTTAAGAAGCCTGTGGGAATGAGCACATTCCCAAACCTTCACCAGGGGCACACAGACCTGGAGCTGGGGTCCCACAGCATCCTGGGTGGGACCAGGAGGGGCTCCTGCAGGGGGAGGCACTGCAGACCCACTCACAAATCCTTTTCCACCTGCAAAAGTGCATCCTGGAGGAATTCCCTGATTTCCTGGAGGAGATCAGGGCAGCAGGAACACTTCAGGAGACAACACCGACAGCTTTTCCTGCAGGTCATGTCTCCATCTGCTTCCAAACTGTCCCTGCCCAGCAGACAAAGCCTTCACAGTGTCTGCCCAGAAATAAAACCTTCCATTCCCACAGCTCCTGGTTGTGGAGGTGCTCAAGAGGGACCATTCACACCCAGGCACGTTGTCAGGAAAAGCTGAATCCGGAGGAATTTGGGCACAGGAATGTTCTGGTGTTTCCAGGAGGAGCAGCAGCCCAGGTACAAAGGGGACACTTGAGCAGCACCCAGGGGAGCCTCCCAGGGCTGCAGCCCTGAAATGGGATCTCAGGATGGGGCAGGAGGGACATCTGGGAGTTCTGGCATGGGAGAGGTTTGGGCATCTCCTGGCTGTGGGCTTCCCACCCCTGGAAGTGTCCAAGGCCAGGCTGGATGGGGCTTGGAGCAATCTGGGACAGTGGGAGGTGTCCCTGCCCGTGGCAGCTTTAAGGTCCCTTCCCACCCAAACCATTCCAAGGTTCTGTGATCCAAACCATCCAGGCCAGTTCTCCCTGAGATCCCAGACCCAGCAGGAACACAGGACTGGTCCAGAGCACTGATAAAGCAGATTTTACACCACTTCTTTCACTCCACAGCACAACAGCCAAGCAAATCCGGGATTTATTCTCCCCTGGCTCCTCCTCAAATCTCCCTCCTCAGCTCCAAGATGTTTTACAGCACCAGCATCAAACAAAACCATCATTGCTCTTGGGCTGCAACGCTGGTAATTCAACCCCAGACTCACTTGGAGCATTTCAAGAGCAGGGGCAGGGTCAGACAGGAGCTGAGGGCACACACACACTTCTGGAGGCATCAGAGGAGCCACAAGAACAAAACTTAACATGGAAAATATTTCAGCAAACCCGCTGCCCTGCTGCTGTGACCAAGGTTTGCAAACATTTCCCCCCCTCCCCAAGTCTCAAAGCTGCCCCTGCTGAACTCCCCAAGGACAAATCCAGGTTTTAAATTGAAGGAGGTTTGGTTTGGGCTGGATTTTCCCTTTATTGTAGGGCTCACTCCTCCCCTCACACCCTCTAATAACCTCCAGATTTATCACTGACGTCAGATTCTATATTTTGGTCTCTCCATTCAGAAGAATCCAAGACACAACATTAAAAACTCTATGGAATAAAGGCAGTGGAGAAGCCAGGAAATACTCCAGGTCTCCTGGCTCTCCAGCCTGGATTTCAGGCTATCAGATGACACTCCAGCACCACATTAACGTGTCATTTAAGGCTTTGGGGCATGTTCCTGACGGATGCTGACTCAGCCCTTTGTGGGACTCCAGGCTTGGGTCAGGAAGGGAACAGAGCAAGGCTGAGCAGGGAACAGCAACAGGTTCAGTTCAGAACAGGATCAGCACAATCCTGGAGTGGTCTGGGTTGGAAAGGACCTCAAAGCCCACCCAGTGCCACCCCTGCCATGGGCAGGGACACCTTCCACTAGCCCAGGGTGCTCCAACCTGGCCTTGGACACTTCCAGGGATGGGGCAGCCACAGATGCTCTGGGAATTCCATTCCTTCCCAGTATCCCATCCAACCCTGCCCTCTGGCAGTGGGAAGCCATTTCCCCTTGTCCTACCACTCTCTGCCCATATAAAAAGTCCCTCTCCCTCCTTTTAAAAGCCCCCAAAAGCTCATAATCCCAAACTTTTCCTTCTCCAGGGACTCCACCAGGTGAAACTAAAGAATCCCTTCATCACCTCCTGAATGAAAATCTGGATCCTACAGAGAAAAAAACCCCCTTTTTAGCTTCCCCAGAGCCCCCAAACAATAGAACAGCTCAGACAGAACCAGCAACATCCTCACCCAGACAACAAAGGGCTGGGCTGGAGCGGTGGCTGGGAGTCCTTTGTGCCTGGAGATCCAGGAATGCCTCGGAGGATGGGACAATTATCCCTCTGGCCCGGGGCCAGGAGCACCAGACAGTTGGTGTTCAGCCACTTGAAGCTGGGAATCCCACACCCTGCATTCCCAGCTCCACACTCCAGTGCCCAAAGCTCGTTCCCCGGGCAGGCAGTGGGCACAGCCTGGCATGGGAATGGGAAACAGGATTTCCCACTTCCATGGGAGCAGTTCTCCACCAGCACAAGGGCAATTCCCGCTGGGAAGCTCTCCAGGATCCCTGAAATGAATAAAGACCCCACCACTCTCTTGGATAAGAGCTTGGATACCTTCTCCCATCGTTCCAAGAGGCTCAGCCCTGCCGGGGGTGCCACTTCCAAGGATTAAATCCCCCTGGATTAAAATCCCCTTCTTGTTCACACCCTAAAAGCCCTAAAGGACCAGATACACCACCAATGAATCTGTGGGAGAGGGGAGGTGAGGAGGGATGTGGATCCTGACAACTTCCAGGCTCCAGCTGCTGCTCCAAGGACCTGGAGCTGCTCCCTCCAGGAACCAGAACTCACCCAGTTCATCAGGAACTGGAGTTACAGGGCAAAGGGGAGTGGGTTCAAACTGAAAAAGGGGAAATTTAGGTTGGATATATGAAAGAAATTCCTCCCTGGGAGGGTTGAGAGGGGCTGGGAAGGAATTCCCAGAGAAGCTGTGGCTGGCCCTGGATCCCTGGAAGTGTCCAAGGCCAGGTTGGAGCAACCTGGTCCAGTGGAAGGTGTCCCTGCCCATGGCAGGGGGTGGAATAAGATGACCTTTAAGGTCCCTTCCAACCCAAACCAGTCTGGGATTCTCCAATTCCCAAATTGGACAATTTAAACAGAAAAAAATGATTTTTTTTTTTTAATCTGAGCAGTATAAATCCTTTAATTAAAATGTAATTATGATGACCAAGCAATCTGTACTTAGTACAACCACCAGTGGCAACTATACTTATACAAACACACACACATATATATATACATGGTTCAATTCTCTTTCCATCAAACACACAATTAGTTCATAACACACAGAATTAGTTCATTAAGGAAGACCCCACAAAAAGGTACCACAGCTGACACCACACACTCACAGAACCAGGAAAACATCTCCATGATCCAAGTTTGAGGAGCATCAGCAACCCCCAAATATCCTCCCAAGTATCCTTAGAGAGATAAATATACCCTTAGAGAGATAAATATAACCTTATAGAAATAAATATAACCTTATAGAAATAAATGCATCCTTCTGGGGATAAATATATCCTTATAGAGACGATAAAGAGTTTTCCTACTACACTCTCAGATCTCTAAATCAGGATCTTTCCCTGGAATGGTCTGAACTCCCTGGGGTTTAGATCCCAACATCCCAAGTTTTGCAGGTGGATCCGAACATCCCCCGAGGAGGAGGAGGAGGAGGAGATCATTCCTCACCCCCTGGGGTTTGCTGTCTTAATTAATGCCCCCTAATCCCCCGGTGGGACAGATCGACTCCAAAGCAGCGCCCTTGTTATTCCTGCGGGACATCCCTTGGAATAACAAACTCCCACTGGCATCACCGGGGATTAGGAGTGGGATTTTCCTCCTCGGGGGGTTGTTTTTCGCAGCAAACGCGGGCTCTGCAGCCACGCGAGGCCCCCCCGGAGCATCTCAGAGAGGGCTCTGCGAACCCACCGAGCTGGAAAATATCCCAAACCACCCCGATCCCGGGAGCTTTGGTTTTAAACCGCACCAGGAATGGTGTGGAACCGTCCAGGAGGAGAAAGAATGAAAGGTTAAAATGAAAATAAAAGCAAGAAACAGACAGAGAAACAGGGGGGGAGTCGCTGGTGCTGTAAAGACAATGAACTTGGGGGTCAAACTGTGGATAAAAAACCCAGAGCTCATTGCTAGGGAGGCGTTTTGGGGTTTCTTACCTTGGAAAAGGACAGAACTTCCAGCGAAATGCATGGATTCTCCATTAAATCCCCCTGCTGAAGGCAAAGGCATCGTCCTCTGCTGCATCACCAAAGCTCTTCAGCCCTGGGGGCTTTTCCAAGCTGCTAAAACTCCCTGGAAGTTCTTTTCCCTAAAAGTTCTCATCCCTGAACTCCCAAAGCTCTCCCTGGGTTTGACCGGGGAGCAATTTTGAGCCTCATCCCCACCTGACTGGAGTACTGAACACCACATAATTGATATTAAACACCACATAATTAATATTAAACCCCTTTTTGGGGGTGCTTCCCAACCCCACCCCGCCCTTGGAACCCCCGGAATTCCCTCCTGCAGCAACACCCGGCACCCCACGGGCAGGGGGGAATCGCTCAGGTCAGGCTTATATTCCATTTAATGCCCTTTAACTGCTCTCTACCTTCCAACCAGAGAAATTCCACCTCTGGGGGTGGTTCGATCCAGAGCAAAACTGGGGAGGGAAAAGCCTAAAAGCGATTTTTTTTCCCAGCCTGTGTCCAGGACACGTGTGAGAGCCCCGCAGTGGCATCTCCAAGGGCTGATTCCAGAGAGGATAAACAGTTTTCCTGCTGCACTCCCACGTTTCTGAGCTAAGAGCTTTCTCTGTAGCGCTCTAAACTATCTTTAGATCTCTTTTTTATCTGCACGGAGCAACATCCGTTGAATTAAAGGACAAAAATCCGTCTGAGAGAGAACGGGAGTTGTTCGGGAAGGAGCAGGACCAGCCTGGGCTGGGTGGAACATTTCCAGGTGGATACCCCGGCACATCCCGGACTTCTCCTGGAAACTACCGCGATCGCCGCACCAGAAAACACCTTTTTTTTTTTAATAAAAAAATAAAGCTCCTGGGAGCCTGAGAGCTGCTTCGCGAGGGGCTGCGAATCCCAACCCATGACAGCGAAGAAGTTCCTTAATTAAGGACACATTTTGCACCTTCTGCCAATGGGAAACATCTGCGCTGGAGCTTTTTTTTTTCCCTCGGCAAGAGCGGAGTTGTTGAGAGAGGAGAATTCAAACTGCCTGCCCGGCTTTAGCCGGGTAACATTTACACAATGGTGATGGCATGTGCTGGAGCTCTCCGCTCGGAATTCGGCATATTTGGGGGAAATACTGCAGAAAAACGCGCTGCCTGGACTTGCAGGCGGTTTGCACGTTCGGATAAAATTTAAAAAAAAAAAAAAAGACGTGTTGCAAAGAGGAGAGAAAAACCACAGCGTGTTTAAAAAGCGACGCCGAGTTTCTGTGCCATCCCACCCCTGCCAAATCCACTCTCAGGGGACGGGAATTAGAAGAAATATCTATTTATTTTTTTTTTTCCTCAGAAAGAAAAAAAAAAAAGAAGGGAAATCAAACTTTCAGCCCCGGAGCGAGAGAGTTAGAAGCGTTCAAATTAATCAGTCTGTAGAAATAATAGAGAATTGCGGCTCCAGGGGCTGGATTTACCTGGGAATTAGTGGTCGGCTGTGCTGGGGGGAACCTCTGCCCCGTCCTGCTTCATGGAGTTCTCGCAGCCGGGCTCAGGGGTCCCCTCTCCGAGCTGGAAAATATCCCGCAGGCAGGGGAAAAATGCTGCGAGGAGCCGCCGCTTCCTGGCCAATTTGAGCGGAGTTTCTGGAGCAAACCCCTCCCAAGAGCCGGCCCCTCTCCGGCAGCTCCGGCGCTGGGATCGCGAAATCCTGAAATCCGAGCGCTGGGAGAGGGAGAGAGCCGGGATGAGGGGGCAGAGCCGGGCGGAGCTG